GGACGAGGCTGCCTCCCTTTCCGACGCTCCGCCCGGGTCTCCGCCCGCAGGGCCTCACCGGCCGAGCCCAGCCGCCACCAGCAAGCCGCGCTTTGTTCTTTCCCTTGCTCCAAAGACTCCGCCTCGGTCCCGCCTCCCCGAGTGGGCGGGGCTTCCCTTAAAACGGCCAGGGCGGTGGGACCGCGTTGCGCACAGCTGAAAAATAAACATACTGGGGTGCCCATACAAGGGGAAGAGGATGAAAGAGGCCAAAAAGGGCAGATATGGTTCCCTGGCGGTTCCCTTTGCTATTCCAGCCCATACACAATGTTCTGCACAATTATCCTCCCCACGGATCTAAAAGTGAGGTTCAGGGGAAAACCAAGTCCACCCTTGGCTCTTAACGTGCAATGTTCCCCACAACCCCTGTCAGTGTCCGAGCACCTGGATGGGTATGGAGTGGGAATAGAATGAGAACGCTCAGGGGAGGGAGGAGAACCGGTAGGGAAGGAGTGGCTAGGGGGCATTTCGAGACAAGGCTAGTGGGCAGCCCTCTTACTTCTGTCTCTGAGGAGGCTATGGCCTCTTCTTTAGAAAAGGAGTTATCACATAGCCCTCTACCTACCTCTCATTCTGATTGCAGAAACTGAGCAAAAATAAGCTCACCTCTTCTTTCGGGGCATCGGGAAGAACAGATCACAGAAGGGTGAAAGGCCCAAATTAGGAAAAGAGTAAGTGGAGCTGGGGCTGGCATGCACACTCAGAACCAAGAAAAGAAGAAACCACACAGAGGAACAGCTTCTCTACGGGATTTTTCAGGGCGGCGGTGGGGGGGGGGTCCTTAGTGTTGCAGCTGCTTCAGGCTGTGCAGGGCCTCAGCACAGGCCCGAATAAGGCCACACAGCTGGATGCTACTCTCCAGGGAGGCGCTGGAGCCCAGCTCAGCTGAAGCCCAGGTCAGCTTCTGCAGGAGGGCTGTCTGTGTGCAAGCCACCGCATCTGCATCTGGAGGCACAGCAGGAGAAGGTGGCCCCTGGGCTGCTTTAAGCCCTGCTGCAGCTCCCTCACAGTGCTCCGGCCGGGGTACTGGGGGCTGGGGTGTGAGCCGAGATCCTGAGGGTGGCTCTGTGGCAGAGGCGAGCTGGTGCTCCCGAGCTTGGGAGAGGGCAGCCTGGGCATTCAGTGCTAAAAGGAGAAAGTGGGTGCAATGGTCACAATGCCTGACCCACCCTCTCTTTATCTCTTCCTTTCTCTGCTTACAGGTTTTCCCTGCCCCTTAATAAGGCAATTCACCCCGTTTCTACCTTTCCTTTGCAGAGCTGGGGATGGTCTAACTAATCCTAGGCAAGCATCCTAGCACTGAGCTACACTCCCAAGGCCAATTCACTTTCTTCTGTGTACCACGCTTATTTGTGTGCTAGCTTTATCTCCCTATAGACTTTGTCTAATGGAGCTCAGACTCTCCTACAGCTTTAGGAACAGCAGGTTTTTAGTGATCTTATTGAATAAACGGTCCTCGCTAGAGCTGACAGGGGAAACTACAATACTCCTGGTTCCACCTACACTCTCCACTGCCACTTCCCAGGCCTACTCTTCCTGGGAAGTCACCACGCTGCTCCTCCACCTAGCACACACAGCCCCTCACCCGGATTATCTTTATCCACGTCTGAATCAAGCTCCTGACAAGCCACGCAGTAGATTTTCCGCTGTTTGTCTTGGAGGAGGATTGTCTAGGAACCAGAAAGACATGCAGCACGGATGAGACGCAGGGTAGTGGGGTCCAGCGGGGAGAACTGAGGAAGGTTCGTGCTGCCTGTCCCACGGCCCCATCCCCGGCCACTCGCCCGAGTCTCTCCTCACCCCGCAGTCCGCGCAAGTCTCGCCAAGCATGCGGTAACCGCGCAGCAGATAATCGCCCATTAGCCGGGAGATGCGATCCTGCCGCTCTCGTCGTGCCTGCAGCACCTTCGTCTCCGCCTCAGTCGGGGGCTCCCAGGAGAAATCGTCGACTTCTGAGGAAGAGAGGCACAAGGGGCCGGAGTCTTGCCGAAGCAAGCTGCCTCCCGTGTCCCGCAGCCACGGGCCTTCACAGCCCAAACCCTCACCAGCGCCGTTCAGGGCCATGTTGCCGTTGTCGCCGAAGGGTTCGCCGGAAGTGATGTACACGCAGCGCGCCTGAGCCGCGGCTCCGCCCCTTCCATCTGGGACGAATGTAGGGGCGGAAGTGACGTCTCCTGAGACCTCAGACCGCTCTGCCCGGAGTGGGGCGTGTCTGCTGTACGCTAGAGCCTGCCCGGGAGGCGCGTCAGGCTGACTGAACCCAGTGGGAGGCCACCTTCGAGGAGAGAGGCGTCTCCTTTTAAACTGCTGTGCTGTGCTCTCAGCATTTGGAAGTGGCTGATTTGGAAGTAGCTTCACAAGGGTGTCCTTCCTCGCCGCCGCTGATGGAGGGGACCACTTGGTAGAGAAGTCACCCTGGGCCTCTGCTTGCCCTGGGGTTTCCCTTCCTTACAGGCCTAAACGAGGACAAGTGAGACCGAGGCATCATTACGACAGACAACCGTAGCAACTGATGGCGAGACAACCCAGGCAGAGGTCATTGTCACATTTTTCCCATTTCAAGACCTTCCTCTTCTGTATATCCGGTTTCCCAGTCTGTCCACTCCCCGCCGAGATCTTGGAACATTTTTTTTTTCTTTTCTTTTCTTGGTGTTTTGATTTGGTTGTTGTTTTAGTTTTTTTAGTTAGTTATTTTTTGTTTTTTGTTTTTTAATCGAACTCAGGATCTTGTGACGCAGTCACGGTGCCACTGAGCTAAATCCCTGTGTAAGACCTAAAGTCTCACTTCCACTCCACGGAGCGTGAACAGCCAAAAAGGCCTCCACGATCCGGGAACAACAAGAGAACCGAGAAACCCAGGAAGGAACACACCAGCCTAGATGGTAAAAGACCTTTATTAGTCTGGCCAGACGGCACTCCCAGAGCCAGGTGGCTCAGAGAGGCAACTGCTCAGGGGCTGAGGTACTTTTTATAAGAGTTTTCTAAACAAAGAGTCAGGGAATTCACAGAACAAGACTGCAAACACATTGCTTATCTTATGCAGGAAATGTTCTAGGGTCACCTTTTGTCAAACCATTTGCCCCTGGGCGGGCTGTTAACCAAGGTAGCAATTAGCATATGAAGAAGCACAGTCTGGTCTATTAGCATGGA